GCGATGGTGGACGCGCTCCATACGATTTACCACAAGTGCCGCGTCCAAGGTCTCGGTCTGAGCCCCGCGCAGAAGAAGGTGCACACCATGTCGTTTGCCGGCTGCAGCGCCAACGGTGGTGCGATCACGGCCACGTCGGCCATCACGATGCGCGCCGTCGTTAACGGCAAGACGGTCGACGTCGACAGAGAGCCGAGCGTGCAAGCGTTTTTCAAGGGGCTTCCGTCGGCGTACTATGGCCTTGTGGACGCCAACGACCTCGGCAGCAACAGCTACGCCTACGAGTTTACGGGTCTTCTCGGCGACCTCTACACCAACTGCCAGAACTCGGGCACGCCTCGCGCCGCGACCCGCCGTCTGGCTGACAACGCCAACGCCACGACGACGACGACGACGGTGACCAACACTGTGGTTCCGGTCGCCGACGACTCGGCGGCGCAGGCGCTCCTCAACTGGCGTCTTGACGTCTTTGCCGCTGCGCCGCGCGACATGACCGACGCCGACGTCGAAGCCGACATTGTCAAGATGCGGACGCTCTACTATGAAAACTGCCTCAACGGCGTTGCCGACTACAGTTCGTCGTTCAAGGCACTCTGGAAGGTCGGGTCGAGCCCGTCGACCAAGGTGCTCAACGCCGTGTACGACCAGTCGAGCCCGATCCGCATTCCCGATTGGCAAACGATCAACTCCAAGCACTTTGGCTGCAGCGGCGAGCCGGCCAAGTAGAGTAGATTTGCATTTTAAAGAAGCATGAATGATAACAACTGCATTTACATATTGAGCATCGTGTTGTTGTCTTTTCCATGACGTGTCGCTTGCATGCGTAACTAACAGGAATGGATCCTTTTATGTGCTTTAGGGTTTCGACTAGTTTAAGGCACAGATGAGATGTCAATACGTGCAAGTATGGACGGCGCCGCAACAATACTTCAGGAAATGGCGCGGAACAGCAAAGGCATGCCGAGCAGATCGGGTGCATCGGCGGGCAAGTGCTGGATGGCAGCAGCGGCGGCAAAAGGACGTCGTACTGCTACTCGGACGACCGTTGACCACCTCCGAGACGTTGCGTTGCCGGATGGCCAAGCGGCCACCGGCACAATGGCCTGGGCCAACACAGTAGACAAAGCAAACCGAGGTACCGGGGACCGAAGACGGTGAAGACGAGGCTGTGGCTCCTCACAGGAGCGCTACCAGTGGCATCGTTGTACTAGTAACCGCTATCGGCATCGCGGTCGTTGCTGTTAAAGTGGGTCGTCTGTTGCAAGAGATAAAACTTATGCTAAATAAAATTGTCGGACTTTCTTCGTTGTGTGTGTACTCGGTTGACTTGATTTAGGCAGGCGGAGGCAGGAGCGCGATCCGCGGGACGAGGTGACGTCGCGGCCACTCGTGTTGGGCGAGGAGCCGGAGAAGCCGACGAAGAGTAGGCTGCTCGGGCTCTTGTACGAGGCTGTGGTGCAAGTGCAGTTGAGCGACGCGTGCCGCCTTGACGGCAATCGTCCATGGACTTGGCAGCGGTAGGTCGGCGCGAAAGACGCGATCGTTCCGGATTCGCCAGACGTTGAACCAGACGCAGGCACGGAGCACGGGCCAGAGGTAGCGGAACGCGGCTTGGGGC